TTTTTTTTTTTTTTTGCTGAGGAAGACTGGCCCTGAGCAACATCTGTGCCCATCTTCCATATGTGGGATGCCTGCTGCAGCATGGCTTGACAGGTGGTACATAGGTCCATACCCAGGATCTGAACTGGCAAACCCCGGGCCACCAAAGCAGAATGTGTGAACTTAACTGCTGTGTCGCCGGGCCAGCCCCTAGATTTTTTTTAAAAAGTTGAGGACACTGCATTCTTTAAATAGACTGTTTTAAGAGAATTTGGTATAGAAAGTTTTTGAGCTGTTGTGTCTTGCCCAAATCTGGTGACAAGTATAAAAATGAATATTTATTAATATCCTTTTCATAGAGCAATCCTCTGACAAAAGAAATAGTTTGTCACAACAATAATAAATAGTCTTTTACCAGACAGAAGCTAGAGTAGATTGATATAAGGGAAAAAGGTATGTGATAGTTTTTTATTTTATGTATTTAAACCTAGTAAAGTTTAAAAATAAGGTGTTTTAAAACTTATTAAAAGATATTTATTTAAACTTATTTAAAGATATTTAAAAATAAGTTATCACTAGATGCCTGCCGTTATAACCGTTATAATACTCAGCCAGCCCGGTGGCATAGTGGTTAAGTTCGTGCACTCTGCTTTGGCAGCCTGGGGTTCACGGGTTCAGATCCCAGGCATAGACCTACACACCGCTCATCAAACCATGCTGTGGTGGCACACCACATACAAAATAGAGGAAGATTGGCACAAGTGTTAGCTCAGGGCCAATCTTCCTCACAAACAAAAAATATGTGACCTTTCTTCCAACTTGTGGTCTTAAACTTCTGTTTTAGAAAATCCAAAAGTAAAATACAGAAGAAATCAATACAATAGAGGTTATATTAAGAGTAACATACAAAGCTATAATTAAGATGAATTAAAGAGAGCCAAAACATTAAAATTGTAAAACTTGCTTGTTACTTGTTCGAACCAGTCCTACACTAGGAATTAGATAATATATATTTATTATCAAGTAGATTATGTTGCTCTAACATGTTCTTTTCATCGGTGCACTGTTAAACTAATCAAAAATTCTACACATGTATGTTCCCTTACAATAACGGCACACACTACCAGTACCTGCAAAGCTGTCACTCTCAAATGACTTTAGTGAATAAAAGGAAATAAAAAGCAGAGAAGTAACATATTAAGGAGAAATAATGGGAATTAGAAAATTCATGAAGTTCAGATCTTTTTTTTTTTTTTTGAAAGATTGGCACCTGAGCTAACATCTGTTGCCAATCTGCTTTTGTTTTTTTCTTCTTCTCCGCAGAGCCACCCAGTACATAGTTGTGTATTCTAGGTGTAAGTCCTTCCGGTTATGCTATGTGGGACGCCACCTCAGCACAGCCTGATGAGCAGTACCATGTCTGCCCCAGGATCCGAACTGGTAAAACCCTGGGCTGCCGAAGCGGAGCATGTGAACTCAACCACTCAGCCACGCGGCCGTTCCCGTGGCTCAGTTCTTTTAATCAGCCAGCCAGCTTGCTAGCAACATGGGATGATTTCTGTTGAGGAAGGCCCTGTAGAGTGGGAATGTGGTCACCAGTGACCTCTGTCTTATCCAGGCTGCAGTAGGAACTTGCTTGTTCTTCATTTTTGCTTTAGCCGTGTTGTGATCCCCAGAGTTGAATTATATTTGCCCTTTCTGCAGTCGTTTCCCTAAGAAATCTGAACCTCCAGGCTTTTGTCCCAGATGAGAATACCTTGCTTTTGATTTTGCTTCTTCAGCTTTCTCTGGACTAGTAACTTTATCTTCCATTTCCTTTTGCTCCTCTGCAGAGGCTCCCTGAGGGCCTTCCGTGGACATACTGCTCCTTCTGCAGACGAGCTGCCAGGAAAAGATTTATTGACCTTTTATTAATATATAATATCCTTCTTTGTCTCGTGACATTTTTTAATTTACAGTCTAATTTTGTCAGATATTCATATAGCCATTTCTACTCTCTATTGGTTACTATTTGCATGCTATATTTTTTTCCATTCTTTCCATTTCAACCTGTTTGTCTTTTGGATCTCAGTTGAGTCTCTTGTAGACAGCATATAGTTGGATCATGTATTTTTATTCATTCTGCCATCTCTCTCTTTTTTTTTTAAGATTTTATTTTTCCTTTTTCTCCCAAAGCCCCCCAGTACATAGTTGTGTATTTTTAGTTGTGGGTCCTTCTAACTGTGGCATGTGGGACGCCACCTCAGCGTGGCTTAATGAGTGGTGCCATGTCCGTGCCCAGGATTCGAACTGGCAAAACCCTGGGCCACCGAAGCAAAGTGCAAACTTAACCACTTGGACACGGGGCCGGCCCCCATCTCTGACTTTTGATTGGAGAGTTTAATCCATTTACATTTAAAGTAATTACTGATAAGGAAGGACTTACTTATGTCATTGTGCTATTTGTTTTCTGTATGCCTTTTAGCTTTATTGACCCTTATTTCCTGCAGTGTTGTCATCTTTTGTGATTAGTTGGTTTTTTTGTAGTGAAATGCTTAAATTCCTTTCTTATTTCCCTTTGTGTATATTTTCTTTGTGGCTATCATGGGGATTACATTTAATGTCCTACAGTTATAACATTCTAATCTTAACATCAATAACAGACAAAAACTCTGGTCCTTTATGGCGCCATCTCACTCCTTTCAGTGGTTCGTGTCACAGAATTACATCTTTATATATTATGTGCCCAAAAACATAAACTAAAAATTCCTTTAAATTATTATTTTAAATTTTTTATTTTAAATTTTTGTTTTTTACTTATTATTTTAAATTATTCCTTTAAATTATGTAGAAAACAAGATTTGGTGTTACAAACCAAAGTTACAGAAATACTATCTTTTACATTAATAACTATTCTTTAAATGTATTAGTCTTTTAAATCATGTAGAAAACAAAGTGCAGTTACAAACCATTGTTACAATCATACCAGCTTTTGTACAATAATGCTAGCTTTTGATCCTGCGTATTTACTATTACTGAGATCTTTATTTCTCCATGTGGCTTTGAGTAACTGTCTAGTGTTCTTTCATTTCACTTAGTAGGACTTCATTGAGTATTTCCTGCAGGCCAGGTCTAGTGGTCACGAACTCCCTCAGCTTTTGTTTATGATTCTCTCTTTATCTTTGGCTTTTGAAAGTTTGATTATAATGTGTCTCAATGTGGGTCTCTTTGAGTTTATCTTTCTTGGTGCTTCTTGCATGTTTATGTTCATGTCTTTTCATCATATTTGGGAAGTTTTCAGCCATTATTTCTTCAAAGGCTCTCTCTGCCTTATCCTTTTAGGATACCCCACAGTGCATGTGTTGGTCTATTCAGTGGTGTCTCACAGGTTCCTTAGGCTCTGTTTGTGATTCTTTTGTCTTTTCTTTCTGTTCCTCAGCCTCAATAATTTCCATTGTCCTGTCTTCAAGTTTACCAACTCTTTCTTCTGCCTGCTTAAATCTGCCTTTGAATGCCTCTAGTGAATCTTTTTTTTTTGAGGAAGATTAGCCCTGAGCTAACTACTGCCAATCCTCGTCTTTTTGCTGAGGAAGCCTGGCCCTGAGCTAACATCGTGCCCATCTTCCTCTACTTTCTATGTGGGATGCCTACCACAGCATGGCATGCCCAGTGGTGCCATGTCTACACCCAGGATCCGAACCAGCGAACCCTGGGCCCCCGAGAAACAGAGCCTGTGCGCTTAACCACTGCGCCACCGGGCAACCCGTCTAGTGAATCTTCCATTTCAGTTATTGTCCTTTTCAGTTCAAGGATCTGTTTTTGGTTCCTTTTTAGGTTTGCTGTTTCTTTATTGATAGTTCCATTTTGTTCACACAGATGACTTTCTCCACATCTTCCTTTAGTTCTTTGAGCACCTTTAAGACAGATGTTTTAAAGTCTTTATCTAGTATAAATTGCATTAGTTCTTTTCAGGGACAGTTTCTCTTATTTTTTCCCTTGAATGGGCCATACTTTTCTGTTTCTTTGTATGCCTTGTGATCTCTTTGTTGAACATTGGACATTTGAATCTAGTAATATGGTAACTCTGGAAATCAGATTCTCCCTCTTCTTAAGGTATCCTGTTGTTTGTTATTGTTTTTGTTTTAATTTGATTGTTGTAGGCTGTTTCTATGCTGAAGATCAGCCTGAGGTGTAAACTTAAGGTCTTCTTGGGTCTTTCCTGAGCCTTTCCCCGGGCTTGCACAGTCACTTTAATTTTCCTTGTATGTGCAGTTGTTTTTTAATGTCTTGGTCTTTAATGACTCGCTCTCCAAAGGGGAAAAAGCAAAACATGAAGGAGGTAAAGGGCACCAGCCTTTTAAATCCTCTGGAAGTCACTTCAGCTGAGAGTGAAGTGAGGGAGGGACTTGCAACAGTGGGGAGACATGCAACAACAGTGGCGTCCCACTTCTTTGCACCTGTGTGATCAGAAACGGTAGTCGGCAGTCAGAGCAGAGATCTCTGATATTTGGAGGACAGGGTCCTTTTGCTCACGGTGGCTCCTGCAAACTGTGTGCAAGCTGCGCCAGGAGCATGTGCCCAGCTGCTTGTCACATAGCTGGCGGTGTGGGATGGGCAGCTGCTACTGTCCTAACAGCTGAAATTGACCAAAATTAACCTTAATTTACCATCCAAGTCTTCTCCCGGAAGTTTCAAGCCTGCAGCAGATTCCAGAGTTCCAAAATGGTTACATCAGACAGATTCTGCTGGTGCAAGTGTTGTCCAGGCAGGGAGACAGATTCCTGGTGCTTCCTGCTCTGCCATCTTCCCAGAGTTTTCAGATTACATTTTAAAGGAGTTCCTTCACCAATATAAAATAATTGGCTGAGGTAACTTATGTGACATTTAGCATAAAAACTGCAAAGTTCCTTGTTCTTTGTGCAAGAATGATTTATATGGTCATTTTACATATATAATATTGGTAAACTATAATTACTCATGATAGCTTTTTTTTCTTTTGGTTTGTTTCTGTGTGTGTTTTGTTGTTGATTTTTTAATTTCAGCAAACTGGACAAAGGCACTTGCGTGGGTTTTGAAAAATGTCTGAAGTTTAGTGGGCTCCATCCACCTTCTGCCTTCTCCCCACCCTTTACAAAAGAATAAATGGGATGTTCGAGAAGAGAGCTGTATTAAAAGAAGAGCGTTGCAAATGGCTTCAGAATCTATGAATGCAAAACAAGCCAGGAATCACTTCACAAAGGGGAAAAAGCAACAGCAGCAACAAGTGAAGAACAAATCTTCAGTTAGTGATGGTGCTGGAGAAGACTCCTTTATCTTTGAAGCAAATGAAGCTTGGAAAGACTTTCACAGTTCGCTTCTGCGGTTTTATGAAAATGGAGAACTCTGTGATGTCACACTAAAGGTGAGACTGTCTTTTTTTACTTTTATCAACCTCGTCAGTGTGTTGTGAAAATGAGGGTTTCTGTAACCACATAAGGCAATTTTTGGTGCTGTAGTTATTTGTTATAGTCAGAATGATTTTCGTCTCAGTCCTCTTTTATTGAAAGGGAAGGGGCACAAGGGAGGATAAATAAAGGGAGATTAGTATAAGATTAAACTGTTCTGCTAATTAAATATTGATACTCATTGTTTCTTAGTTAATTTAACTTCTGAGAATTTGGAACCCTAAAACAAGTAGTTATTATTAGCGAAATTAATAAATTGCTGTTGACAGATAAGCTTTTAACTTGTGGATTTAAAAGCCGTGATGGATTCTCTTACTCTTGCGTTGGTGAGAAGTCAGGAATTCCTGGTTGCTTCCCTGGCTGCACTGGTGTTTCACTGTCTGCTCCTGTTCTGGTAATTTAATCTCCACTTCAAGAGTGCCACCTGTTAAGTGAAATTGTTGATCTATACCTGATAGTGAAGTAGAGTCTGTTTAGACTTGGGTGAAAAGTCTTTCGTAAGTCTGTGGTCTGTAAGACCATGCTGTTCTGCTACAAAAGACAATTTTAATAAAATTGGAAAAGTGATAAAGTAGTATGGAAGAGCCTGTGTTCTAGTTGTTTTTCATTACTTGTTTAGAGTACTTTCTTCTTATTCTTATCTCTCAGTGTAATGTTAAAATTTTTGGTGATTCATATGCATCCATGCAGCATTTTCCACATGAGATTTGCCACTTCTGGATCTCTTAGATTTTGCTTTATGCTCCTAATCAGACAGGTTCTTAGAGCTCACAGTCATGGAGAATGAGGGCATACGTGGAGATTCAGATCAGGGACACTCAATAAAAGTCCAGAAACTGAAAGCATAAACTTTGAGTTTCAGGCCTGGAATGTCCAGGAGTATAGTGTTGCACTGTAAACAAATGACCTGTATTCTCTTTGCTTATACTCTTGGTGTCCTTACGTATTTCTAGGTATTAAGAAGAAAACCATTAGATAATTCTACCAGCTCTGTGTGAAATTTAGCCGTGTATATATTTTAATGAAGGAACACTTAAACTCTTTGATCTGTATGGTATGCTATATTTACTCTCATGCCATTATTCTAATTTTCAGCCCTAGTGTGAAATTCAGTGACCCACACTGGCTGTGGCAAAGCTAAAAAATGCAAAATAGATTGTTTGAACTTAATCAATTACCAATTCAGCCTATCAGTGTCTGCATGGAAAAGGAATAGAATATTATTGATTTTTATAAATTTTATAATTTGATTTTAGAATAATTTTTACAAGCTGCTGCATGTAAACTTTCTTAAGTGAAAAATAAGGATACAGCCGTCTCAGGGCAAGTGATAACTAAACTTGTAAGTTTCCTTTGTTTATTGAGTAGCTTCAGCAATAGGTTGAAATGAAAGCTTTAGAGGAATCTGGTGGAAGACTAAAAATACTGTGTTTGAAACAGGGATACAGGTCATTTAGGAATGAGAAATCACACTAGTTTGAAGGGACTTGCAGTTTTATTTCCTCAACTATAAAAGTACAAGGGTAAATTATGTTTTTGTGAGCAATAAGTGAATTGATGCATGTAAAGTCCTTATGACAGTCTTGGTACATAATAAATAATCAATATCACTTATTAGGATCATTATGTATACTATTCTTGTCGTTCCAATGGTATCAGATAATTCTGCTATGGTATATTGTGTTCCTATTCGTTAGGAAGAATTACATCTTAATCTTTCAGCATGTCTGCTATTGGATTTGTTTCTTAATTTTAATTCAGCGTTTCTTCAACTTTCAGAATTTAGCTGTCACAGCACAACTAAACCAAATAGGATTATGGATAATTTATAACATTCTAATCAATATAAACTTCACTTTTTATATTCATATAACCTTGAGGATGATTCTTTGATATAAATTCATCTTTTCTTGGTGTGTTTCCTTTGATCATTATTGCTTTTAGCACAAAGATTTTAGAAAGGTAATTATCAAAATTTGTTTTATTTTTCATATATAAGACCACGACCCCATTTTTAAATTCCAAAGTGAGCACCTATATTAGAAACAGCAAATTAATTCATTTAGCAAATATTTACTAAGGTTTACCTCTAGTACATGGAGAGTATAAATAAATTTGCATAATATACTGTACTTGCCTTGAGGGAATTTAAAGTTTAGCCAGAGATAAGCACATACACAGCTAACTATAATATAATTTAATGATTGCCTTTTTTGTGAGTGTTTATGGAAGCAAAGGAGAGGATCTGTTAATTATGTCTGAGAGGTTATTGGAAAGGCAATTGGTTTCACATGGCAGATTATGTACAGCCATGTGCTGCACAACAGCATTTCAGTCAACGACAGACCACATATATGGTGGTGGTCCCATATATCCTAGGTGTGTAGTAGGCTGTACCATCTAAGTTTGTGTAAGTACACTATGATAGTCACACAACAAAATTGCCTAACGACACATTTTTCAGAACGTATCCCTGTTGTTAAGTGCCGCATGACTGTATTATGTTGAGATCATTTCAGGGAGTGGTAAAACTTGTCTGTGTACTATAATGTTTATTCATTAGTGAAAATATTTTTAGACAGTATATCCAGTAGCAGCTCTAAAATTATATGTGCGAGAAGCTGCTTAAGGGCAACAATTTGGTTGGGGAAAGGGGAGGGGGAAATTGTCTTGAAGGGGTGTTGCATACCACTAATAATGCTTAGATTGTACGTTATAGAGCAGCAAGAGTAGCATTTACAAAGATGCTGTTATTCATGCTTTATGCAGTTTCAGCAGATGTCACTGTCTTTATTAAAGATCATAGTTAATTTTACTTGAAGAAGTTAATAGAGGTTATTAGAGGTGGACACCCCTTACATCACCTGTCAATGCTGCCACTGAATAAGTTTATTCATATTATTTAGCTCTTTTTTTTTTTTGGAAGTGCATGTTCCTGTGATTTTTTTTTAAAAGCAAATATTTATAGGAATCTAATAAATATTTTCGAGACTCTAAGTCTTATAATTTTTTGCTGTCAAAACTTCCAGCTGACCAGGTAAAAGTAAGTGCTCTGAAAGATTGCAGGGGAACGAAATATGTGAACTACATTATAATATTATACTTCCCAGAGGTAGAAATGATAAAATTATTACCCTTATAAAATGTAACAGTTAACGCCTCACTGGAAAGCAGACATAATCTAATAAAAGAGAAATGATAAAGGACAAAGTGGTCCTGTATTTAACACTTAAGCATTCTATGTTAAGAAATCTAAGAAAATGATCACCTTTATTTTCTTCCATTCAACTAGTAAGTCAATATTTTGATTTTTTTAATGTTGCTCAAAAGAGGGGGTATTTAAATATTTTATCCCTAGATCCTTGTTTATTTGCCCCCCAAAATGCTCTCTAAGTTATTGTTTCCATTGTGCAGGGTTTTTAAAACAAGTGTATGATTAGTTAAGATTGTATAACAGTGAATCTGGCTAGACATTGTGATGTGGTAATTCACTACAAGCCAAGACATTATCTTGAGTCTTATACATTTAACCCCTTCTTGACCTTGGCAGTAAAACACTTTTTGTCCTCACAAACTGATTAAAATTGGTAGATTATTGAAAAGAGTAGCTTACTGAGTTTAAAGGGCAAAATTACAAGGGATTAAACTGAGAAATTAGAATACAGTTTATAAATGTACATAAACGGAAACTTGTGTATATAGCGTTTTTTCCCCTCCAGTCTTTATTTCTGTTCCATTGTGTGTCTTCTGCACTTTTATTTCAGTATAGTTCTCAAACACTTAGCTTGAGTTACTAAGTGGCATAATTATAAACATTTCAATCTAATATACTTTAGTCTTTAATGATTTAAAAATTTTTTCAGCTGTGTTTGTAAATGATTTTTAAACAATTTCTGTTATTGGATTATACAATTAATACTTAGAAATGAAGTGAACCTATGTAAGAACAACTAGTTCATAAGAGTTCACAGAGTAGCCAATTTTTTTAGCCAGATTTTTAAACAGTATTAAAAATAGCTAAGAAGTAAAAATTAAATGAATTAAAAAATTGTTCACTTATTAACATATTGAATATTTAAAACGTATTTATTGCTTTTGGAATTTTGATGAAGAGCGTTCTCAAATACTACTGGTGGATAGAAATGAGCTCACTGTTTTTCAGGGACAGTTTGACAGTGTGTGTCCAGAGCTATAAAATGCTTTTTTTGATTTCACTAATTCCGCTTTTCATATTTTATCTCAAGGAAATATTCTGGAATGCTGAAAAACTTTCTGCTCTAAGATACTGTTTGTATTTAAAATATGGAAAAGTTATCTAAAGCTGATATCACAGTGGTTGAATAAACTGCGTTCCATCCGCTGTGCAGAAGAGCATACAGCCAATAAGCATGAAAGTTACGAAAGCATTCAGAAACTTAGGAAGAGATGGTGAGGTTTAGGACAATCTCAGTTAGGTTTCAAAATGCATAGAAAAAAAGTTAGAAGGAAATATACCAATAGATTGACAGCATTTGCTGAATTGTGAGTAAGGTTTTTTCCCTTTTATTTTTCTGTGCTTTCTTGATTCTACACACTGACTATGTATTTCAGTCAGGAGGAAAAAAGAAAACTCGGAAAGTAAGTGGCCTTTAATGGAAGAAATAGATGGGTTCATTTTGTAAGTCAGAACTGATGGTTGATGGAATTTTTAATGTTCTTTGTTTAGTTAATTTTTTTATGTCATTTTTAGTTCATTTTACCTCATAATTCAGCAGAAGATCATTTATTGTTTTCAGAGTTCTACTTAGTTCATCATATAGTTTTTCTGGCTGGACCTAAATGTGGCATCAGCAATAAAAGTTGAAGATGCGTGACTTCCCTCTGTGCCCCTCCTGTTCCTACATCCCGTGTTGAGAGTGAAGTGCTTTACCAGTCTAAAGCCTTTGTTTCATGTTATTTTGATCCCTATTGGCTAATCTATGGAAAATTACTCAAGGTTTTGAGGAGTGGTTTGTATTTCAATCTTTGTATTTTGATAAGGGATCATTTTATTGATGTTGATATTCTGCATTTTTTACTACTTCAGTTTAAGCTTGGCATGTTTTTTTCTGAGTATTTTTATTTATTCATATATTCACAGATCTAATAAAAAGGAATGTAAATTAGAAGATTCACTGTTATCAAAAACATAGTTAGTGTTTATGTAGTAGTCAGTTGTATAGTAATATCTAATATTTTGTAGTTTGTATATTTTTCACCCAATTTTAAAACACCTAGTCTTTAGACTTTGATTTCTTTTATTTCTAAATTTCTGATGAAATGTTTTTGGTAATAATTATTTTTACGTACCAGAGAATAAAAATGTAGAAATAAACTTTCATAAATATGAGACTATATAGTATCAAAGGAGAATTAATGCATAAAAAGCTAAATTTTTTGATGTTCCTATTTCATACATGTGTCTCAAAGTTAATTGGGTGTTTATTCTAAAAGGCTACATAGAGGTATGATTGTGTGTATATATTTATTAAATATGCACATTTTGGTTTATTTGAATCAAGAAATTAAAATAGCTTTATACAGAGACAGAGCCTTCTTACAAACCACATGAAAATAACTTGCAAACCATTGATTTCTATGGCTTAGATGAGAAGACAGTGTTAAAATAATGTTTATCTGGAAATTGTAGAGCCCTATTTTATATTACTATTATGTAATAGTATTGGCAAGTAATTGAGCAGGTTTATGTCTTCTTTCAAGATTTACAAATATTTGCATAGACATGTCCAAACATGCATGCACAGACAGTCCAAAAAAGGATATTTTTAGGCTGTTTTTAAAAAGTTCAATATCAGATTTCAGATCCCATTTTAAGGCTGAAGTATATTTGAAAACATGCCAAGCTTCCTGCTTTAGTCTTAGGTTACAACTTGAGTCTCAACAGAATCTAAGTCCTGCCTTGTGAATTCTTTGAAAAATTAAATATAGTATAACCAACAGAAATCACCATCTTGTACTTATTGAAATAAATGATATTGTTTATATTAGTGGAAAAAAGTTGGGTGAGGTGCATTTATAAGCAGAACCATTTATACATTGTAACACTCTTCAGGCATTTTCCTTTAGAAGTTCTTAAGTTAAAAATAGTTCCCAAATAGTGAGACACGACTATAAATGTATTATATAATCAAAATGCTACAGGAAAATTGTTAAAACACTACTATCCTTTAACTTGTACTCATTGATTATTTAATGTAAAGTGCTGGGAAAACTGGATAACTACTATGTTAAAAGAAGATATCTGTCTACTCAGTATCAAAAACTTCCAGATGGAAATAAAGATTTAAGTGTAAAACATAAAACCATGCAAGTACTAGAAAAAATACCTGAAGTAAATATTTATGGAATATTAAATAATTCCCATTTCAAGCATAACACTTAATGTAGAAATCATTAAAAAAGGATTGATTTGATTATATAAAAATCCATAAGGGGTGAATAAAATTTAAAAGCACAGTATAAAATAGGGAAAAGTTTGAAATATATATATGACAAATGGCTAATACTCTAAATATATGGAAGAGTTCTCACAAATAAATAAGAAAAAATCATAGAAAAAAGTTCATAGGAGAAATACAAATAGCCCATAATTTATGAATGGTTCAAATCATATTAGTAAAAGAAAGATAAACTAAAACAATGAGCTAATATCTTCATTCGTCAAATTGGCAAATTTCTTAACAAGTTAACACTCAGAATATGGCACAAATATTGTAGGTAGATCAGAAATGGACAGTTTAGCAGCCTGCATCCAAATTGTAACCATCCTTTGAAGCAACATGTCTATTTTTAAGAATTTATCTGTAGGAAATAATAGAGAATGTGAACAATGGTTCAGTTACAACGAAGTTTACTACTGTGTCATTTGTAATGGCAAACTAATTTTTCAATCTAATTTTTCAACCATTAAGGTTTTGAGATTTCAGTGTTTTTCATTACTTTCATATAGAATATATCATTTCAAAATAATTTAAATAGGAAATGGAAAAACCCTCAGTTAAGCTCATAGTAAATATTAGTAAATACTGATTTTATTTACTCTGCTTCAATTTTGTCACTGATAAATTGTGGATAATAATAGTACCTACTCATAGGGGCAGTGGGACCATTAAATGAATTAATTTGTGAAAAACACTTAGAATAGTTCCTGACATGGTCACTGTGGTTAACAATACTGTAGTTATATTTGGAAGTTGCTAAGAGAGTAGATCTTAAAAGTTCTCATCTCAAGGAAAGAAAAAAAATGTGTAATTATGTGAGGTGATGGATATTGACTAAACTTATTGTAGTAATTGTTTCACAATATATACATATATCAAATTATTATGTTATATACATTAAACTTATACAATGATATATGTCAATTATATCAATAAAACCGGAAGAAAATTTTTTAAAAAGAGGCAGAAGAAAGGACTCATGGACCCAAAAGAATAGTAAAAGACACATAGTAAGTGCTTAGATGATATTTGCTGCTATTCTCATTAATTCACAAAATGCTTCTGAAATATGAGATAATATAGAAAAAAAACATAGATTTACTATCTATACATTATAGAAAAATGTATCAAGGATAAGTGGCTAATTTGGAAGAAGCAAATTGCTTGACATTAAGAAATTGCCCTAAATTGAAAATAAGTGACCTAAGGATTACATTGTTGAAACAAATACACCAAATTTGTCTGGAGTTTTTGTCCCTGCTCCAATACATGCTCGATGCTGATCTAAAACTGATTTTGATATTAAGCTGAGTCTCTCTTTCTTTGTTCTGAACAGGTTGGCTCAAAGCTAATCTCCTGTCACAAACTGGTGTTGGCATGTGTTATTCCCTACTTCAGAGCTATGTTTCTCTCTGAAATGGCTGAAGCCAAGCAAACACTCATTGAAATCAGAGATTTTGATGGTGACGCAATAGAAGACTTGGTAAAGTTTGTCTATTCTTCACGGCTCACTTTGACTGTGGACAACGTCCAGCCTCTCTTGTATGCAGCCTGTATTCTACAGGTTGAACTGGTGGCCAGAGCTTGTTGTGAATATATGAAGTTACATTTTCATCCCTCCAATTGCCTGGCAGTAAGAGCCTTTGCAGAAAGTCACAATCGAATAGACTTAATGGACATGGCGGATCAGTATGCCTGTGAGCATTTTACTGAAGTAGTGGAGTGTGAAGACTTTGTAAGTGTGTCACCCCAGCATCTCCATAAGCTTCTGTCGTCTAGTGATCTAAATATTGAGAATGAAAAGCAGGTCTATAGTGCAGCCATCAAGTGGCTTCTTGCCAATCCTCAGCATCATTCCAAATGGTTGGATGAAACACTTGCACAGGTAGGGACTGAAATAAGATTGTGTGTAGAAATGAAATGATATGGAAGCAAATCAGCATGCTTCATTTATCATGAGAAGTGTAGATTATCCATTGATGTAATACCGTGTGAAAATGGCTTGATTCTTACTTCCCTGTTTACTCACTATACTATTTAAGGGTAAGTCTGAATTTGTTAACGTTTGAATTACAAATATCATTCTCTGCTTTTTAACCTGAATGTTTAAAATATCCCTTTGAGGTAGTAATAATGAGTGTTTTATTTACACAAATAGAAAATGGTTCTGAGGAAACAAGTCTAAATTAATTTTTAACTATTGTTTTATAATGACGTTTCTAAACTTTACTGAATTAGTTTGCTAATGAGAGTACATTTATTACGCATATAGATTTATTCTGGATAGAACTGTAAGACATCACTTTCCATTTTCTTCCCTCACCACAGTTTTACCTTTATAACCTCAGAAATATGTCTCTTTTTTTTTTCTGGATTTTTTTTTTTACTTGAGATTATGATAGTTTACAACCTTGTGAAATTTCAGTTGTACATTATTGTTTGTCAGTCATGTTGTAGGTGCACCACTTCAGCCTTTGTGCCCACCCCCAACCCCCACCTCCTTTCCCCTGGTAACCACTAATCTGTTCTCTCTGTCTACATGTTTAACTTCCACATATGAGTGGAGTCGTACAGAGATTGTCTTTCTCTATTTGGCTTATTTCACTTAACATAATATTCTCAAGGTCCATCCATGTTGTTGTGAATGGGACAATTTTATCCTTGTTTATGGCTGATTAGTATTCCATTGTATATATCTACCATGTCTTCTTTATCCAATCATCAGTTGATGGGCACTTAGGTTGCTTCCACATCTTGGCTGTTGTAAATAATGCTGCAATGAACATAGGGGTGCGTGGGACTTCTGGAATTGCTGATTTCATGTTCTTTGGATAGATACCCAGTAGTGGGATGGCTGGGTCATGTGGTATTTCTATTTTTAATTTTTTGAGAACTCTCCATACTGTTTTCCATAGTGGCTGCACCAGTTGGCATTCCCACCAGCAGTGGATGAGGGTTCCTTTTTCTCCGCAACCTCTCCAACATTTGTTACTTTTTTGTTTTGGTTATTTTTGCCATTCTAACAGGTGTAAGGTGATATCTTAGTGTAGTTTTGATTTGCATTTCCCTGATGATCAGTGATGATGAGCATCTTTTCACATGTCTATTGGCCATCCGTATATCTTCTTTGGAAAAATGTCTGTTCATGTCCCCTGCCCATTTTTTGAATGGGTTGTTCGATTTTCTGTTGTTCAGTTGTGTGAGTTCTTTATATAGTATGGAGATTAACCCTTTGTCAGATATATGACTTGCAAATATTTTTTCCCAGTTAGTGGGTTGTTTTTTTGTTTCAATCCTGTTGTCTCTTGCCTTGAAGAAGCTCTTTAGTCTGATGAAGTCCCATTTGTTTATTCTTTCTATTGTTTCCCTTGTCTGAGAAGACATGGTGTCCGAAAAGGTCCTTTTGATACTGATGTCAAAGAGTGTGCTGCCTATATTTTCTTCTAGAAGTCTTACGGTTTCAGGTCTTACCTTTAGGTCTTTGACCTATTTTGAGTTTATTTTCGTGAGTGGTGAAAAAGAATGGTCAATTTTCATTCTTTTACATGTGGCTTTCCAGTTTTCCCAGCACCATTTGTTGAAGAGACTTTCTTTTCTCCATTGTATGCCCTCAGCTCCTTTGTCGAAGATTAGCTGTCCATAGATGTGTGATTTTATTTCTGGGCTTTCAGTTCTACTCCATTGATCTGTGTGTCTGTTTTTGTATCAGTACCATGCTGTTTTGATTACTGTAGCTTTGTAGTATATTTTGAAGTCAGGGATTGTGATACCTCCAGCTTCATTCTTTTTTCTCAGGATTGCTTTAGTGATCCAGGGTCTTTTGTTGCCCTGTATGAATTTTAGGATTCTTTGTTCTATTTCTGTAAAGAATGTCATTGGGATTCTGATTGGGATGGTGTTGAATCTATAGATTGCTTTAGGTAGTATGGACATTTTAACTATGTTTATTCTTCCAATCCATGTGCATGGAATGTTCTTCCGTCCTTTATATTGTCATCAGTTTCTTTCAGGAAAGTCTTGTAGTTTTCGTTGTATAGGTCTGTCACTTCCTTGCTTAAATTTACCCCAAGGTATTTTATCCTTTTTGTTGCAATTGTGAATGGTATTGTGTTCTTGAGTTCTTTTTCTGTTAGTTCATTATTAGAGTATAGAAATGCTACTGATTTATGTCAGTTGATTTTATACCCTGCAACTTTGCTGTAGCTGTTATTTCTAATAGTTTTTCAGTGGATTCTTTGGGATTTCTTTTATATATAAGATCTTGTCATCTGCAAATAGCGAGAGTTTCACTTCTTCAGTGCCTGTTTGGATTTTGGAATATGTCTCTTTTTAAGTTATTTGTTTACTTTTACTGTCAATAGGGGTTACTTGGTTATGGAGATAATAAGTGAGCCTCAGAATTACTTTGAAAATAAGTTTGTGAACAAAAATGAATAAAAAGTTTCATTATCTTGCAGCTATATCTTACTTGTGTATGTGTGTGTGTTTAGCTCAAAATCATATTACCTGGTTTGATTGTCCCTTTAATCCACTAGAAAATCAACACATCTTTAAGAGAAGAAAGAGGGGCTACATCTCTGAGTTAGTATATGACCTTCCAAGATAATTGATTTGAAGAAAACAGCAGCTGTTTGCTTCAGATATGAATGTTTGCGTGTTTAAGTAAGAAATAAATCACATTTCCATATGTTCAGTCTTAGCTTTAAAAGGGAAAAGAGCAAAACACAGCAATTTTGCTTTCATTGTGCCTTTTCTTTAGCAGTAAGGGGCCTGTGATTATGACAGTACCACTTTTGGAAGTGAATAAGTAACTTGAATAAAGACAATTAAATTATTTTATCCAGTCTACTTAAATCTATATTTAAAAGAGGAGGATATATTTAACATATAATCTGATTTTATTAGTGCAGACCAGTACTGGAAATCGCTTTAGAACTTGGCACAGTAAGCTTCATTCACATGTTAGAAAGGCTTTATGAAATAAATGAGTTTTAAACAGGGAACATACTGCAGTAGAAGTAGAGAATGAGCTATCCTATTCCAATTTAAATTTCCTTTCTGCCAACTATTCATGATCGTAGGTTCGTTTGCCCCTCTTGCCAGTTGATTTTCTTATGGGTGTTGTGGCAAAAGAACAGATTGTCAAGCAAAATCTAAAATGTAGAGACTTATTGGATGAAGCAAGAAATTACCACCTTCACTTGAGCAGCAGAGCAGTACCTGACTTTGAATACTCCATTCGGACTACTCCAAGGAAGCATACTGCTGGTAATTAAATTACTCATTTTATCAACTCTGCCAGAAGGATCTTTGTTATATTTGAGAGTTGGTTATGCATGCTCAAACTTAATTGTAAAATGATTCGTATCTGATTGTCTTAAAGTAATAATTGGCAAATAAGGTCATATATGAAATCTTACTGTACGTGATTCAGATAGTTTTACCAATAAGCCAGCTTCTTTTTTTTTGCTGAGGAAGATTAGCCCTGAGCTAACATCTCTGCCAGTCTTCCTCTTTTTGCTTGAGGAAGACTAGCCCTGAGCTAACATCTCTGCCACTCTCCCTCCACTTTATATGTGGGTTGCCATCACAGCATGGCTGACGAGTGGTGTAGGTATGCGCCCAGGATATGAACCCATGAACCCCGGGCTGCTGAAGTGGAGCACGCCAAATTTAATCACTGTGCCACAGGGCTGGCCCCAAGCCAAGTCTTTAAAAAGCCATAACAAATCCTCTATACTTTGAAGAGCCTGCTGAAATATCTCTTCTTCTGAAGTCTTCCTGATTCTCCTAGGCAGAATTAGTTTCTCTGTCATTTGTGCCTTTAGAGCACTTTGTTTGTACTGGTTTTATTTTACTATGTTGCACTGAAATTTGTTTATTTGACATGTTTCCGGGCCTTTCAAAGACAAGTTAAGTATCTTATTTCAGTTTGTATCTCTAGTGCAAAGCATGGAGCTTGACACACACTAGCTGTTTAAATATTTGTTTTTGCATTTTATCAAATAAAAAGAAAGGCACTAAATATATCTAACATTTGTATAACAGATCATATTGGACTTTTAGAATCTAAAGCTCTTATATGTGAGGAGGCATGCAGTTTTGCCAGTATTTGCCAGAATTTTCAGACTTTATATTTTCCCAAGAAAATACTTCATGTTACTTATGTTACTCTTTATAAATATAAAGAATGTATTTGAGGAATGAGGGAAAAGAAGTGAGGTCCAGGAATTCAGGAATCAGTTCTCTGGACAGAGACTTCCTTTGCGTTTGCTGCTACCTAATAAAGTTGTCAAAGAAAGGGATCTGCCGAACAGCCTCCCAACAGCAGCAAAGACGATGCTTGATTACAGTAGTGGGGTTTTAATCTAGGGTCATATAAAGAAAGTTTGAATGTTGAGAAGGAGTTCTCATAAATAATTAGCGTAACAAGGGAAGGACTGCTGATTTATTTTCCTTTTTTCATAGGTTGATTTCAAGAACTAACTTTTTTTGAAGTGTCGGTTTTTTACATTTCTGAATTCTGTTTCAGGAAGTCAAAGTATTTAATGAAATTCTTCTTCAGATTCAGATTTGGAACCAGACAGCATCTTGACTGTCTAGACCCTCATGCACATGGTCTCTTAAACGATTGCAAGAACTTGATGAAGTAGATTTCAGTGAAGGATTCGATTCTCGTTATGAGATAAACAGTGTGATTCCATTTGATGGATGAAGAGACTAAGAACTGGAGAGGGTGAAACTGTGCCCAAGGCCACAGGGAGAAATAGCAGAGAAAGGATTTGCAGCCTGATCTTTTTACTTCATTTTTAGTTTTTGTCTCTTCCATGTCATGTTTCTATGTGACCTATATAGCTGAATTACTAGTTTCCATCTAAAGAAAATCTAATCAGTGATTGGGATTACATTCTGGGATTAAAATCCCAGCTGTGCCATTAAACATTTGTAGTTTGGGGGCAATTTCTTAATCCTCGAAGGCCTCAGTTTATTTATAAACAATTTTGACTGCATGGTCTTTTAAGTTTCTTGCACCTGTAGATTTCTCTGACTTAAAATATTGGATTAGTTGGAAAAGATAGCACAAGCGGTTCTGGTCATTCATTTGTGTAATCATTCAGCAAACCTTTATTAATTGCCTACCATGTGCCAGGTTCTGGGTTAGGAATTAGAAGTGCAAATGAGAATATAGCCAGACCTATTTTGAGAGAACTTGCAGTCTGATCTGGGAAAATAGACATGTGGATGAATAAATGCAATAATGTATTATAGGTACTTTGATATAATCACAAGGTATAGTGGGAAGCACAACGAAAAGAGTGGTTATTTTGACCTTGAAAGGGTCAGAAAAGGTTTTATAGAGAAAGTAAACCTCAGTCTTAGTTTTGAGTGAAAAATGAATATTTAGGGGCCGGCCTGTGGCCAAGTGGTTAAGTTCGCACGCTCTGCTTTGGCCGCCTGGGGTTTCGCCACTTCAGATCCTGGGCACGGACATGGCACTGCTCATCAGGCCATGCTGAGGCGGCGTCCCACATAGCACAACTAGAAGGACCCACAACTAAAAATATACAACTGTGTACTAGGGGGCTTTGAGGAGGAGGAGGAGAAAAAGAAGAAAAAAAAAGAAGATTGGCGACAGATGTTAGCTCAGGTGTCAATCTTTAAAACAAAAAAGAATGGTCTTCTAGGTGCCTGTTAGGGAAGGGGGTATTCAGTTCATTGTACATTTATTGAGTGCCTAGTACATGCCAGGCACCGTGCTAGTCCTTATTAGCGCATAAATGCTTAACACACGGTCTTAACCTAGTTTAGGCTCCAAAGACAGATATCAGCATAATCATTTCAGTATTATGTATTAAGTGAATGATAGTTACCAAAAGTTGCTATTGGAACATTGAGGATAAGCACCATATGCATGTTGTAGGTGCATGAAATTTAAGAGAAAGAGAGGGAGAAGATGAGGTGAGACACTGCAAAGCGTTCATGCTGTGCTGAGCCTTTATCTTGCAGGGCAGTGGTTCTCGTAGTGTGAAGGAAGGGTGGCCCCTGGACCAGCAGCAGCAGCACTCACTTGGGAACTTGTTAGAAATACAAATTCTTGGACCTACCCTAAATCTACTGAATCGGAAACTCGGGATCAGGCCCAGCAATCTGTGTTTATGCCCTCCGGGTGATTCTGAACTGCAGTAATGTTTTGATTTTTTTAAAAATTGTGGTAAAATATTTATAACATAAAAATTGCCATTTTAACCATTTTTAAGTATACAATTTAGTGGTATTCACTGAAGTTTTTAAGAACTACTAATGTAGGTAATGAAAAGCTGTTCAAAAAGCCTATAAATTAGATTACTCTGTTGACCATGTGAAAGCAAAAGGACTGCTAAGTGATAAGAGAGGGTGGGATTTTGCAGTAGTTGGGTAGTAGCTGATGAGGGCCTGAACTAAGGCAGTTGCAGTGGGAATCTCCAGGGGGAGGAAGGACCCCTTAGGGAAGGAGGAGCTTGTTTAGGTAGGCGAGGAATGGGGGGGTCCTTTTGAACACGTTGAGTTTGAGGTGCCCGTGGACATGTGGCTTAGAAATGTGGATTGGAAGGCGTTATGATACAGATGGAATTTAAAATAAAGGAATGGTCTTTCCTGTGTAATCATCAAGTATGTGAGAAGTAGGCTAAGGATGAAATGTGGAAGAGATAGGAAAGAGAGAAATGATCAGAGACAAAAGGAGACTTTGATATTATGCAAATCAAGAGAGTTAAGGAGTTTCCCAAAAAGTAGGGTGATCAACATGTCAAATGTTGTAGTTGTGTTCAGTAAGAAATTAATTTAAGAGTTTATCGGATTTTGTTAAGACCTTAGCAAGAGCAATGTTACAGAGTAGGTGAGGATCTAAATCATGTTATAAGGGGATGTTAGCAAGCACAGATAGCTGATACGTGCTATTCTTTGAGAAATTCAAATGAGGGGAAAAGAGAAAATTAGATTTCTAGTAACATAATGCCATTGAATGCTATGCAAATAACTCTTCTTTTTTTTCTGTTAGTATTTTGATTTCCAAAATAGTTTTTCTGTACTAATTTTAAAAACTTAGGGAACTGTGGTTTTCACCTCCAATTTGTGGCTTTACCTTTAGGTGTGCTGTTTTGTGTCGGTGGTCGAGGTGGATCTGGTGACCCGTTTCGCAGTATTGAATGCTATTCCATCAACAAAAACAGTTGGTTCTTTGGACCGGAAATGAATAGTCGCAGGCGACACGTGGGTGTAATCTCTGTGGAAGGTGGGTCCACTATTGTCTTAAATCACATTATGTGATCATAATGCTCTTTTTCAATTTTTGAACTTTGAGAATTTCTTTCTGTAAGAAAATTGCTAGATTATAAAATATGTTTCAGTATGTCAATAAAATATTTGGGTGGTGATTATTTACTTGCTTTGTGCTCATAGATGCTCAGTGTACAATCTCTTGCATGTACGTGCTTGACAGGAGGTGAGTATCAGGGAAAAGGGAATTAAAATAAAGAGTTAAAGTAAGCTATTTTGGGTTATATTTGCAAAAGAATCAACTAAAGAAAAATGTTTTTTCAGCCCAAATAATAAATATATATCACCTTTTTTTATACCCCTCTAATTATTATGATTATTGAAACAAGATTTTTTTTTACTGGTTACTGAAAATGAATTAATTGCAGAACCATGGATAAATTGTTAGAAGACTTTTAAAAAAATCACTTTTCTGATTATAAAAGTATAAATGCTTTTTTTTTGGAAAAATATGAAAACATATTTTAATAAAAAATAAAAATCTTCAAATACCCAGAAATAATCACAGTTAACATTTTGGTATGTCATGTTTCTAATTTTTCTGTGTATTATTATTATTTTTTTTTTTTTAAGATTTTATTTTTTCCTTTTTCTCCCCAAAGCCCCCCCAGTACATAGTTGTATATTCTTCGTTGTGGGTCCTTCTAGTTGTGGTATGTGGGACGCTGCCTCAGCGTGGTTTGATGAGCAGTGTCATGTCCGCGCCCAGGATTCGAACCAACGAAACACTGGGCCGCCTGCAGCAGAGCGCGCGAACTTAACCACTCGGCCACGGGGCCAGCCCCTCTGTGTATTATTTTTATTTATTTCATTTAGAAAAAGTTTGATCATACTGTATTAAGAGTTTTACATTTTCCTTATATGAGCATTTTTAAATTTTATTTAACATCTTTTGAAAACATGATTAGTGATTTCATCTAAGAGAGAAAAAGTTGAGAAGCCTAAGGGAGGGATGGTGGTGTCTGAGCATTTAAATACCTTCATGTAGCACAGCATGCTTCTGGCATTTGGTCAAGTAGAAGATTACGTTTATTTTCATTTGATTACTGAAGTGGCATTGATCATAGTGTTGGACAGAAGAAGACGTTGAAAATTAATTTATCATGCTTTTCTCATTATATATTGATTATATTTAGAAATAAGGTCAGTTTGTTTATTTGGACTCAAAGGTAACTCCTTCTGCATTCGACAGGCAAAGTGTATGCAGTGGGTGGACATGATGGGAGTGAACATCTGGGCAGCATGGAGATGTTTGATCCTCTCACCAATAAGTGGATGATGAAGGCATCAATGAACACAAAGAGGTAGGTCAGTGTTGAAATTGATTTTGATTTGTTGGTGGAAAAAAGGAAAGCTTCCTATAATTGAAAAGGCTAATGCTTTTACTTTTTACATTTTTAGAAAATTTGAATACCTTCTTAAACACACTTTGTTAAAGTGACCAGTGTGATTCTTTGTTATATATATTTGAGAATTAAAAATGGAATCATGTTGGAGCTGGCCCTGTGGCACAGTGGTTAAGTTCATGCCCTCTGCTTCAGTGGCCCAGGGTTCACAGGTTTGGATCCCAGGCGCAGATCTGCACACTGCTCATCAGGCCATGCTGTGGTGATGTCCCACTTATGAAAAAATAGAGTAAGATTAGCGTAGATGTTAGCTCAGGGCCAGTCTTCCTCACCAAAAAAAGAAAGAAATCGTGTCTTAGAGGATGATGATTGTCATAGTTTTCACTTACACCTGAGCATTGATTTTTTTTTAACTTTTTATTTTGAAATAATTTTAGTTATTCAGAAAGTTTGCAAAAGTAGAGTTCCAGTGGTTGTCAACTGAACATGATTTTGCTCCCTCTGTGCAACACTTGGCAATGACTGGAGACATTTTTGGTGGTTATAACTTGAGGGCAAGGAGGTTGTGGGAGTTGCTGCTGGTGTCTACTTGGGAGAGGCTAAGGATGCTCCTGAAGATCCTATAATGCACAGGAAAGTCCCCCACAACAAAGAATTATCCAGCCCTAAATGTCAGTAGTGCTGCAATAGAGAAATCCTGCTGTCTACTCTTCACCCAACTCCCATAAAATTGACATCTTACACCATCATAGTACAATTATTGAAACCAGGAAATTTACATTGATACAGTGCTATTAATTAATCTGTAGACCTTATTCAACTTTTGCCAGTTTTTCCAGACATTCTTATGCTTCTGATTTGTTTTTCTTGTCTAATTGTATTGGCTAATAATCTAATACAGTGTGAATAGTAGTGGAGATGGTAGGTCTTTTTGTCTTGTTCCTGTTCTTAATGGAAATGTCTCCAGTGTTTCTCAATTAAATAAGGTACTGGCTTTAGGACTAAGGCATGTGTATTTTAATATGTTAAGAAAATATCCCTCAATTTCTATTCATTCTTTTTTATCATTATGAGCATTAATGTTTAAAATTTTCATCTATAATAAATTGAGATGTATGTTGATAAATAGATAAATCTAAAGAGGAAGAAGATTTTTAGTAACATAACTTAGTAAATGTTGACTAGCCTGTTCAGAATTTTTTTAAGGACTTGAATACTAAATTTTCAGATATCCTAAGGTGGTAGGATAGCTAACATCATGTGACCAAATCAGGATTTAAAAACCAAGTAGACTCTATAGACAAAACCTAAAAACATTAAAATTAGAGTTATAGGCTAAAACCTGCTTTAGGTATTTAAAAAAATCAGTTATACCAGTACAACACTGTGGGAAGTCAGGTTTGTGATTATGTGGGGAAAAGTACCTGAACCAGTATGAAACACAGCTCTTAAAAAGAAAGAGAGGCCGGTCCGGTGGTGCATTGGTTAAGTTCGCATGTTCCGCATTGGTGGCCAAGGGTCCGCCAGTTCGGATCCCGGGTGTGGACATGGCACCGCTTGTCAAGCCATGCTGTGGTAGGCGTCGCACATATAAAGTAGAGGAAGATGGGCATGGATGTTAGCTCAGGGCTAGTCTTCCTCAGCAAAAAGAGGAAGATTGGCAGCAGTTAGCTCAGGGCTAATCTTCCTCAAAAGACAAAAAACAAAAAAAAGAAAGAAAAGGAAAAAAGCAAATATAATGTAGTTGCATACATTAAGAGAAGTGAAGCTTTTAGATCAAGGGGGATTGTAGTCGTGATACTGTTCTTTATGCTGATCTGTCCTTATCTGTAGCTGTGGTCTCAAAGGGGAAAATGCAGCATCGATTGGGGTATGGGAATAAAAATTAGACTCTATTTATTTCATCCTTTTAAATTTGTTTTGAGTGGGTGTTTTATAATGAACATAATCTGTTAGTACAGTAAAGTATGTTTATAAGTTGAAAATAATCATGGTATGTGGGAGGGTGCACAAAAATTGTTAAAAATATGAGAGTGATAACCTGGGATGCATCTCAGTAAGGACTAGCAGGTTAGAAAGAATCTGAAAACCATGCCATATAAAAAATTGTTGAAGGGTTTTGGTTTGGAGATGAGGGGACTTAAGAGAGTGTCTGGATATTTTAAGGGATGTACAGTGCTTTAGAAGGAAGGAATAAGTGTTTGTTCATAGTTCAGTATAATAGCAGTGGAGCATATTGTAATGTCTCCCAATGACTGAAATTATACATGTGTATGTCAGAAACATAACATATATTTTTGCACCAAACGGGAGATTAAATTAGATTACCTATTCTTTTTCTTTTTCAAATTGAAAATTCAGCAAATAGGGTGAGGATTTCAAGGACTGAGCTTAATTTACCTAAACCTAGATACTAGAGTAATTCTGCCTCTTTGTTTCAGAGTGAAAATGTAACAGGAGAGAGAAAGAGGGCTCTCTCAGTAAATAGCGAAAACACTGCTTCAGAGTAGCTTTGTCTAGAGAACACATATCACAACATCTCTATTGGGATTTTATTTAAAACAAATAAACCTAATACAACCTAACTTCACACATTGTGGCTTGCATGGTTTGCAAATTGTAGCAACATTCTGTAAGACTTAAAAATTCTTGTTACCAGAATGAACAATTTTAAATTGAACTGCACATGGGGGGGATACATTGCCATCTAATTTTCTCTGTGTTTTGTTTGTTTGTTTTTGACTGAGGAAGATTCGCCTGAGCCAATATCCATTGCCGATCTTCCTCTTTTTGTGTGTGAGTGGCCGCCACAGCACGACCATTGACAGATGAGTGGTGTAGGTCTGCGCCCGGTAACCGAATCTGGGCTGCCCAAGCGGAGTGTGCCAGACTTAACCACTGAGCCACCGGGGCTGGCCCATAATTTTCTGTTCTTGATTAATTTGACACAAAATGTTTTTACCTGGGTTTTGTTCATGTGTTCTAAAGTATGAAAGATTAGATGGAAACGTGAAGAGAGTTCTGCTGAAAAGAGATCTTTAGCCTTTTTTTTCCCTTATGAGGAAAAAGAATCTTAGGGAAAAGAAAGCTGGTCTTAAAATATGCTATTACCTTCCTCTTATCTACAGATGACATTTTAATACTTCAACAGAGCTTGATTTATGCTGCATGGTAACTACAAATAAATAGTTTATATTCTAATGCATGCATGAAAACAGGGAAGGAAATCCTAAAGTACGTTTTTAATCTTTGTGCCCTTGCCTAACTCTATCATGCTAAGCTGGTTTTTAGCCAAGAATTAAGTGAAACTTCCCTAGCAGAATAGCGGTTGATTTCTTTTAGTCTTTCAGAATATTCTTTGAGCACTTAAAATAGCTATCCAACTGTTTAAAAAATAGCAGAACTGCAATTATTTTGTTATATTATTTGCTTATAGTTTGTATTCTCCCAAATCATTTTTTCAGTGCACATTCCAGGATCATTTTCACAAGTAAAATGTCTGGTTTTAAAATTTTTTTCCCCTTCTTTTTCATCTTTGCACTGAAACAGATGCTGGTATTTATTCAAGCGGTGGTTTTATTGAAACCTGTCATCCTAACAGAGCTTCTCTAGGGGTTGATTGATTTATTCCACAAATACTGGTTAAGTGCCCATTGCAAGACATACAAAGTGCTGAAGATGCAGCAATGAGTGAGACAGTCGAAGTCCCTACCTCGGCAGAGCTCACATTCTAGAAGGGAAGATGCAAATAAAGACATAATTACAAGGGCAGTAATGTTAGCACAGGGTAAGGAGAGGGTGCTTGAGAGTGGAGAAGATCTTAATGAAGTTGCATTTCACCTAAGATCTGAAAGGATGGAAGAATTTAGTGTGGCGAAGTGTAGTGGTGGGTGGAAGAGTGGTGGGTGGAAAGAGATGATGAGTCTTTGAAAATCTGGAGGTGAATGAGAGCAGAGAGGATGAAAGAAGTCCAGTATGGCCGAGAGATCAGAGGGAATAGTGTCCAGAAATAAGGCTGAAACAGTAGGCAAAGAAAGGGCCTTTCAGGTTTGCCAAGATTTTTAAATTTTATCTAGTAGACTTTGAAATATGTATGTGCGTGCGTGTGTATATATATATATATACACACGCACGCACATACATATATTTAATAGCAGGGGAATGATAGAATCAGATTCTCTTTTCAAAGATCCTCTGCATATGAAATGGAGAAGGGGTTTTCAGAGGACCAGAGTGAAAACAGTCTGGGAGATCAACAGGGTTATTGTACTATTTCAGTCAAGAAATAATGGTGGATTAGACTGCAGTGGTAGACATTGGGATAGAGAAAAGAGGACATATTTGAGAGACAGTTCGGAAGTGTACAATCAACAAGGTTTTATAATAATTAGACGTGGGGTTAGAAAGAACAATGAGGTAGAGGCAAGGATAATCCTTCAGTTTCTGGCTTAAGCAACTGAATATGGATAGTGGTTCAATTCTCTGCATTAGGGAAGACAAGACAGTGAACAGGCTGAAATTTTTGTTTGTCTTGTGATGGATGTATTAGTTTTCCCTTGCTGTGTAACCAGTTACCATAAACTTAACCTCTTAAAACAAAATCCACTTGTTAGCTCACAGTTCCATAGGTCAGAAGTCCAGCAGGTTTACTGGGTTTTCCAGTTAGGGTCTCAAAAAGCCAAGATCAAGGTCTAGTCTGGGCTAGGCTCTTACCTGCAGCCCCTGAGGTAGAAACGGCTTCCACCGTCATCTGGGTTATTGGTAGAATTCAGCTCCTTGTGCCTGTAGCACTGAGTTTCTCACTTGTACTGGCTGTTGATCAGAGGGCACTCTCAGCTCCTAGCGGCTGCTCTCAGGTCCTTTCCAAGTGTTCCCTCGGTCATCGAGTGAGCAGTGCTCTGCAGAGCGCACCTCATTCTCTGAGTTTCTGACTTGTCTTCTGCTGCCAGCTGGAGAAACCTCTGTTTTTTATAGGGCTTGTGTGATGTGATTAGGCCCACTCAGGTAATCTCTCTTTTGCCATATAATGTAGAATAAGCATAGGAGTAAAACTACAGAGTGAATAACTTGTGGGGGGGAGCGGATCTTAAAATTGTGCCTACCATAGGGAGGTAGACAGTGAGTTTCGTCATTTCAGATTACAGTTAAGGTTGAGGAGCCAGCGGGACAGATTTGAGGTAGAAGTTGGATATATGTGGGAAATATATATTAGAATTATCGGAAGTCCACGGAAAGAATGAGATTGCCTACAGAGAGACAGTAGAGGGTGATAGAGGCCTTAGAAAACTTCCTAATTTAATGATGGAGTAGAGAAGGCACTGATGAAGAAAGCTGAAAAGCACCAGGCAGAGATGTGGAGTGGAATTCAAATGTGATGTCATGAAAATCAAGAGAAGAGAGTTTCGAGGATTAGGAAATAGCCAATAATATCAGAAGCTCTTGTGGTTTGGGGTGTGGAGGACAAGGGAGAATTATTAGCCACACATTTCTGCCGTGATACAACACCCTTATGTTCTAGAGTGCACACATGTGTTCACAGGTGCCTGAAAACTTTTATAACCACAGTATTTTGTAAGTTGTTGCTTTATGTTCAAGAGAAAAGAGGGTAAGGAGACTGGAAGTGAGTAGCATTATCCTTAAGAATTCTTTCCTAGCGTACTCTTTTGGTAAACTTAAATTAAATCTCACTAGAGCAGCTGCTCCCTCCTGTAATAATAGGTAATACACAGCACTGTGGGCCGGTCCCTGTTCTTGGTGCCTCACCTGTATTAACTCATTAGTATCAGCTGTGTCTCCTCCTTTCTCAACTGGACTGCAGATGAAGAAGCAACAGTAGAGGTTTATAAAATACCCTACTTTCGGGGCCACCCGGGTTGCATAGTGCTTAAGCTTGCATGCTCCACTTCAGTGGCCCGGGGTTCATGGATTCAGATCCCAGGCATGGACCTACACACCACTCATCAAGCCATGCTATGGCAGCATCCCACATACAAAATAGAGGAAGATTGGCACAGATGTTAGCTCAGGGCCAATCTTCCTCACCACAAGGAAAAAAAAAACCCCACTACTTTATCGAAAGTACATACCAAGTCAGTGACAGATAATAGGTTTAGAGTAGTTCAACTTTTGATTGCTGCAATGTGTTTTTTAAGAAATTGATATAATTTTTTCCAATCACCATTATGGTGAATTAGCTTTTAACATGGGCTAAGTCTCTTCCTTTCCCAGAAGAGAAATACATGCCCTTCAGAAGTAAAGCAAGGTGATAATAAAGCTTGTGATATAAAAGTTAATGTTCTTTTGTGTGGCATAGTGAAACTGCAATAAAACATGCTCTGCAGTTATGTGAATTTAGAAATGAGACTGACTTCTGACTTCCATAGCAAACTGTGTCTGTCAGTTCATCAACTTCTCAATTATGCAACTGTGTGTTTTCCTGATTGAATGTTTTGGGCTCTATTTATAGTATTTTCTTGGGTTTTACTTTATTATTTCATTTGAGTTTAAAGCAACCTGTGTAGGCTCTGCAATATAAAACTCCAGAGGGTACTTTTCACATAGGATTGCACAGTTTGGCACACCTGTAGCCATTTATTCAGAAGCTTTGATAAATCTAAAAATAATGGGAGGGGGCCAACCCTGTGACTGAGTAGTTAAGACTTGGGCAGCTCAGAGTTTGCTGGTTCAGATCCTGGGCGCAGACCTACACATCACTCATCAAGCCATGCCGTGGTGGCGTCCCACATAGAAGAACTAGAAGGCCTTACTACTAGGGTATACAACTATGCTCTGGGGCTTTGGGGAGGGGGGAAAAAAGAGGAAGTGCTTTAAAAAAAAATAATGAGAAAAAAACACCTTGAAGTTTAACATGATAAATGACTTGCGTTAGCACAGTTTTTTTGCTGCCTTTTTTCTGGAAACAAACCCAGATGCTAAAGTGTTTTTTATTGTCTTTGCAGGCGAGGAATTGCTTTGGCCTCCTTAGGAGGTCCAATTTATGCAATTGGAGGGTTAGATGACAATACTTGCTTCAACGATGTGGAGAGATATGACATAGAATCTGATCAGTGGAGTACCGTGGCACCAATGAATACTCCCCGTGGAGGAGTTGGCTCTGTGGCTCTAGTAGTAAGTTAGATGGCATCGTGCTCATTGGATTGCCTTGCATCACATCCTTAAAGATCTGGTATATTCATATGTCCAGGATGCAGATATTGATTATACACCATATTATTTCATAAATACTGCTTTCTTGCACATTCTGGTCTACCATTAGGACAACATATAAATCAATTCAAAATCTCATGTCATGTGTTTTTCTCTTTTCTTTATTTAGAACCATGTTTACGCAGTAGGTGGCAATGATGGAGTAGCTTCTTTATCTAGTGTGGAGAGGTATGATCCACATCTGGATAAGTGGATAGAAGTTAAGGAAATGGGTCAGCGAAGAGCAGGCAATGGAGTTAGTGAGCTGCATGGTTGCTTGTACGTTGTTGGTGAGTGGATATTTCTCTAGTTTAACTTATTACAGTATATACGACGACAGTGTCATAAAACAACACAATAACAAATTGTATTGCATTTAGGCTCAAGTGGAATCGGTTCTGAAATTTTCTTTTGAATTCTTAAGGTTTAGATTCATGCATTTTTTGTTTATCTTTGTCTTTCATGTGTCAAACTTTTACCTCCATATTTTTACTAGGAGTAGTAGGGGATTACATTTAAATAAGATTTTTTTTAATGTAAGGACACAAATTGAATGTACTTTGCTAAAGTAAATCTTTAAAGATCTAAGACGTTTTTCTCATCTTCATTTCAAGGGAATTGTACTAACTACTTTAAGCAAACCAATAGATATTTCATATGCGTAATGGCTCTTAGCATCTTTATATTGCTTTTTGCGTTACTGAATTGCAGAGTTGGAAGGGACAATAGGGCAGTGCTTTCTCACACTCTTATATGCATATGGATAGTATGGAGATATTGTTAGACTGCCAGGGAGGGGATCTACATTTTGTATTTACAGCAGCTTCCAATTGATCATGGATACTGTCCTGGTCCACTCAGCGCACCTGAGTACTATGAAATGGGAATAATCCCTGTCTTTCAGAATTGTTTTAAGAATTAGAGTTAATACATGTTGAGCATCTCAAACTGTGTCTGGTACTTTGTAGTTACCCAGTAAATGGGCAGCTGTGTTGTGATTAGTAATCTCGTCCTGTACAGAGGAGGAAATGAGGTCGGAGAGGTTGTCACTAGCATATGTCACACTTTTGTTGATGTAAATTGTTTGTTGTTACATAACGTACAGTTCTTGAGAAGAGAGTGAGATATTGTTAGCATTTAATTATCTGCAAGTAATAGAGGTAATGCTGCGTCTTCCAGTGCTCCTGTGTGTTAAAGAAGAGAAATAACATAATTTACCTTTAGATCTTGCCTGATCATCACAGCGGCTCTCTGAGGTAGTCAGAGACCCAGAGAGTGAATAGTTTACTCATAATCACATGCCTACACAAGTGACAGAACTGGAATTTGACAGTACACCACTGCCGCCTCTCACAGCGCCTTGCCTAGCATAGGCATTGATTTACGTGTGTTGTGTGTCAATAGGAGTGGCATTGTTGCTGTTACTTGTTAAATCTTCTGGACTCTTATAGTTAGAACAGACATAGTAAAAAGAAGACTGACGCAGGTTAAATATTAAAAAAAAACCCTCTTGGTCGTTCAAGTCCTATTTAAAACAGACACAATTGATTTGAATAAGAAAACTTTGAAGGTAACTGTATGCACAAGTCTCGCAAGCTAATTGCATCTTGCCTTTTCTGTTCCTCTGCTTGGAATTCTTTATTATAAGTTTATATGCATTATCTAGGGAAATGATAGGGAGCCAGTGAAAAAGAAGGCTATGAAAAATGTAACTACTAAAAACTTAATCTTCTCCATTAACATGAAGAATAATTAAAACTAAACCCTTCATTATACTGAAAAAATGTTTTATATCCTGGTTGTGGTGATGACACTACTATAGACATTTGTTAAAATTCATCAAATTATGCACATACAATTGGTGAATTTTACCTCAATTAAGTTGATTTAACAAAATTAAACCCATTAGAGAAGTTGACCCTTGATATTTTTTTTACCGACCTTGTTTCTAAATAGGCTGATCGTAATATCAACACTTGCTGTCCTCAGGAAAATAGACTTCGTCACCAGAGAGAGCTATTACTCACGTAGACTGAGATGGAACCTAAAAAGAGACATTTATTTTTAAAGCAAAGAGCACTGTTAAAATAACAGTCTCTATTTTTAACCTTCAGGAATATAATAAGTAACATTATTCAAATGATCTGTAGAGAAGAGTGTCATCATCTGTAATATGTAACACAAAGATGTAGTTTTGGCAAAAATTGATTAAGAATTCAATCATAGTCCACCAACCATCTCTGTAATTATGATGGCATTTATAGTATTAAGGGAAACAGTTGGAAAACTAACGTATCTAAATAAGCCAAAAGATTTAGTGTAACTTACTCTCTTCTCAGGCCCGCTTACTGTTTAACAATATAAAACACACACGTCCACACGGAGAGAAGGAGTCTCAGTGCGGTCTTGCTTGCCCCTGAGAGGCTGAGGGAAAATTGTATGAATGTCTGGGGTTTTTTTTTTTTCTTCTAAATTATCTGCTTAGACGCAGTGAGTCCAGTTTTTCCCATTTTGAGATTTTTAATTCTAGTATGGAGGTAAAATACAACTTAAATTATCTTGAATTATAGAAAATGCCTAGTAGGAGTTGGTAGTGGTGATAGATGTTGGGGTGAATTTTCCTGATTTTCTCAATTTTCTGAAGTGTTTTTAAAAGATTGAGTTGTAGGGGCTGGCCCCGTGGCCGAGTGGTTAAGTTCGCGCACTCTGCTGCAGGCGACCCAGTGTTTTGTTGGTTCGAATCCTGGGCGCGGACGTGGCACCGCTCATCAAACCACGCTGAGGCAGCATCCCACATGCCACAGCTAGAAGGGCCCACAACGAAGAATATACAGCTGCGTACCGGGGGGCTTTGGGGAGAAAAAGGAAAAAAATAAAATCTTAAAAAAAAAAAAAAGATTGAGTTGTAGAAGATATTGCATTGAGATTTACTAGAAAATTCTACGAAACGTCATGCCGTTTCTCAAATCTTTCTTTGTGTAGGTGGTTTTGATGATAATTCTCCTCTGAGTTCAGTTGAGCGATACGACCCTCGAAGCAACAAGTGGGATTATGTAGCAGCACTTACCACTCCCAGGGGTGGAGTGGGCATCGCGACAGTGATGGGCAAGATCTTTGCAGTTGGCGGTCATAATGGCAATGCCTACTTAAATACAGTAGAAGCGTTTGATCCAGTGCTGAATAGGTAATTTTTATGTTTTCTCTGTGCTTTAATGGGCTCTTCCAGTACCAGTTACACCAGAATGCTAAAATGCTGCTACGTGTAGTAAATAAAAAACATTTGGCGTATCTTTATCTCCCTCAGGAAGACTGCTGTCTTTCAAAACCAGTCTCATAATAGGGAGTTTTTGTCTTGGTTGGTATTGTAAGTAAGGTAAATCGTGCTTTGTGTTAAGATAACATTATCTTCTGTCTTTTCAGGTGGGAGCTGGTTGGATCCGTGTCTCACTGCAGAGCTGGAGCAGGTGTAGCTGTGTGTGCCTGTTTAACTAGCCAAATTCGAGATGTAGGTCATGGATCCAATAATGTGGTTGACTGTATGTGATTTGAGTTCCAACAGTTTAGTCATATCTGATAGGCAAAAAAGACAATCAGGATTTTGTATGACCACCTTTGAACAGTTTTAGCTACTACTAGAGTCTTGTTTAAATGGAAACTGTTATATTGTGATTAACTGCAACTTTTGGAATGGTAGCTAAAGAATTATTAGTAATAAAGTTAAATTTGATGCTTCCCACTTTAGAAATAATGGAGTAGGGAGGAAGACCTTCTAAGCTGAAACCATACCTCCTCCAAAAAATGTTTAAAGTAGTGCCAGAATCTTGAAATCCCTTTTTAAAAAATGTGTGGATGAATCAAAATATAAAATGGAGTCATTTGCCGAGTTTTACCTTTTCTTTTGCCTAAAAGTGTTAACCTCAGGCAGTGAATCTTTCCTAGAGAGGAGATGAGAACCTGCTCGTCAATACAAGGATGTCAACACAAGGATGTAGGACAGAGAAGAGACCTGCTCCTTTCAGAGATCATTTCTACTTGGTGCTGATGAATTTATGCCTTGCATTTTTCTAGGTGTTGATTTTTCAATTTCTTGGATATTTACGAAGGTAGAAATAATGTTTCCTCTTTCCCAGTGCCACCGGGCTGCGTTGTCAGCTTGTAGGAGTGCTGTAAGAAGCCCTTAACACAGCTTGAATTGTTAGGACACCAAAAGACCTAGCGGAACTCATTCCATCCCAACAAATCTCAACTTATTTTTTCATCTCATGCGAAAAGAGTTTGTTTCATAATAAGCAAGAACTGAACCAGAGGAAGTATTCGAGGAGAAGGCTTTAGAGCTGATGTTGTTCCAGTGCCCGGTCGAGAGGCGTTGAGAGGGAATGGTGCCGATTACGTGACTCCTCAATGAGGGCAATCTGAAATTATGTTTAACACTCTTCTTTGATTTAGTCATTTGATTTCAAACCCAAGATGTATTACCTTTCTATTTTGCCGTTTGCGAACCATCCTGGTTTTTCTAACTGTACAGAGTCTGGATTTATTTATTATCAGAAAATGAATGCATTTTTACAAAAACCCTTCATAGACTGTTCTTTACTGATTACTTCAAGTTCATCGGTACCAGTAGAAGATATTGTTGGTCGAAACAGAATGATTGAAGCTGCTGCTGTCCTTTTATTCAGTCCTCTCTGGTTTATCTATTGAACTTTAGGTGAAAATATTTCTGTACGTTAATTTGAAGCCAGGATATTTACACACCTACTGATTTAATAACTCTTCTTGATTTTAACCAGCATTATAAACTGGTCTGTTCATTATGTGTATATATTTTTATAAATATTTATGAAGAATGGTAAAATATTCTATTTTGCATTTGTAATGTAGTTGGGTACCTCTCTTCCAGGCTTTCCTAAATTTCCCTTTAGTCTTGGTTAGAATGTAGTGCAGTTCACTGCTGGGCAGTCATCTGGTTCACAAGCACGCTGGGGTGGTGAAGAACACTACCCCATCCAGCCCTCCCTGAAGTTCATTGCCTAGTAGCTCTGATGGTTCTCATTCACTGGCAGCCTGGGCTTGTCAGTACGCTAGGACAGAAAGCCACATTACAAAAGCCAGGGCCTATTGGGTATATTAGACCCAGAAAAAGAAAAAGAAAATATTCTCAGAAGGCCCAGGCCAGCAAGTAAAAAAGGTCTTTCATGGAGCAGATTTAAAAGTTCCCGAATTAGGCCATTGTTTGCTGTCAGCCTATGGGCACGTTCAGAGGTCATTGCTGCATCTGAACCAGTGTTCTCTTGTAAAATTAGACCCATATTTCAGTCCATCCCAAATGCACTTAACTCTGTAGAACTCACTGGCTGGGTGTAGAGAGTAAGTCTCAAAACCTGGCTTCAACTGTCGGTTTCTCATGTCTAGTGGAGTTCTTGTGTTATAAGCTTGTCTAGTTGTGGTTACTGGATGTTTGTTATATTTATTTTGGTAAGGGAAATGTCTTCATCTTATTGTTTCCAAGATTATATAAAATCTTTTTTTCTTTAACATATTTCTGCCTTTGTTGTATGTATAGATTTTAGGGGCATAAAGGTATTACATTGCTGTTTCCGGTTTTTACTACACGGTAGTCATCTAACATACTAAGTTAGTACCCTAGCTACCCATAAAATATGAACTCCTTATAAGTAAAGTAAAGTAAAGTAAAGGGATCCTGTGCTGTCTGTACATTATGTGTGAGCAGTCGGAAGCATTGCCTTCACGGACTTGACAATGGTGTGAAAAGACAAATAGTGGAATCAATATGCAGTCTCTTTATTGAAAACACTTTCTTTGAGATATGAATGAGAATCAGGCTGAAGAAGTCATGCACTTGAGAGGTGATTATGTTCATAGGAATGAAGAAATGAAATGTTCAAAGAAGTAGCTTCTTAATTGTGAGGGCTGTCACTTCAACCTCAGATGTTAATAGCGCCTACCAAACAGTGACATAAGATAAAGCTAAAATTTTGAAATTGTAAATGGAAAAAAGAAAAGGTGAAAATTTTGTGTATTGTTTCTTCAAGAAATATTTCTAGGTGCTTATGTTTGATTGTCCCATATGATCATGAAAGCTACTGCTTACTGTATTGCACTGCCCCTTTAAGAACAAATTTCTTCTTATTGTTTTTGGCTAATTTTACTGTGTTCTGTGTAACTCATCATTTTTTAAATGTTAGTGTAAACTTAGTACTCCCTCTAAGGAGTATTATTTATTCTCTTAATTCCCAAATGAATTTCGAACTTAAAATGCTATTGAATGCCTAGATAAGAGATTGTTGAAATTGCATAAACTACTCTTGCAAATGATAAACTTGAGAATTTTCTTTGTTCCTTTTTTCTCCATCTCTTATAAGAGAATGCATTTAAAATCTAATTCATGGCTTATCAATTAAGAATGTTTTCTGTGGTTTCTCATATCAGACTTTTAAAGAAATTGGTATTGGGATGTCGTTGGCTCTGTCTCTTTTTCCCCTTTATGTGAAGTTACAAGTGGCAATAAAATTTCTCTGTAATATTTTTTTTTTAAAGATTTTATTTTTTCCTTTTTCTCCCCAAAGCCCCCCGGTACATAGTTGTATCTTCTTAGTTGTGGGTCCTTCTAGTTGTGGCATGTGAGACGCTGCCTCAGCGTGGTTTGAAGAGCAGTGCCATGTCCGCGCCCAGGACTCAAACCAACGAAACACTGGGCCGGCTGCAGCGGAGCACACGAACTTAACCACTCGGCCACGGGGCCAGCCCCCTCTGTAATATTTTCTTAAAACCGTACGTAAATTTGTGTAGTAATACTCCAGCAAATCAGAAGAATAAATTATCATATGTACTACTAAGTACTGAGATCAGAGAGTTGGGTTCACATCAGTGCTATTTATTGATTCAGAGTATACTGCATGTGTCTGTCATGAATAGGAACTTTCTACAAGGTCTGTGTAACTTTGCTTCTCATTGTTTGATTGCTTTTATTGAAGCCTTTCAAAGCTGTGTAATTGTTTATTCTCCATCCTCAGATACAAAATCTGTTTTAATAGGTTGGCTGTAATATTTTTCTGTTTATAAAAGGGATCTTTATGTTTAACTGAAAATAGATTTTTGTCACTCTTAAACAAATTAAAGGTTAAAGGCAACTGACGTAAGTAGTTTCACTAATCTTAACGACTCTCTCTTCAGCAATTGCAGCTTTGTGCTGCACAGGAATGAGATTCTTTATGCGTTAAGATGAATGTTGTCCTTCCAAGTAGTTACCTCGTGAAGCTGTAATTTTGGGTTTTTTAGCTATGTTGCCATTGCTAAAAACTTTTCTGAAACTTGTGTTTGAAAATAGCCTGAAGAGGCCATTTGTAAGTCATCCAAGAGAATATCTCATCACAGTCAGACGTTCATTTTGACCAGAATCTTGGTTATGGCCCTGTGGATTTCATCATCAGACTTGATTCAAAGTATTTCTATCACAGGTGAAGTGTACCCTCAAAGAATTAAGGTTTTCCTTCACTGGAAAAAATATTTTCAAAATATTTTCAGCAGCCCCAATGGAAGATTTGTAAAATTAACTCTGAGCAATAGTAACTTCCTTAAAAGAAATATATAGCTTCTTTGAGGGGAAACCTTATTTGAATGCAAAAATCCTGGGGGTTTTTGTTGTTTTTTTAACAAGTCAGTCTTCCATTATCTTACTGGTTGATGCTAAATTCAGTCTACCTGAACCAACTCTTTACAATATAAGAGGTTTCTTAAATCTGGGTAATAGTCATGGGGAATATTAATAACTAATTTGTTAAATCTGTAATCTATACTAGTCATTTTATAATGTTTTAATCTTTACAATAATTTTGCATTTTACGGTTAAACATTAGATTCAAAGACATTAACTAATTTGTCCAAGATCCACAACTAATCAGTGGGTAACCAGTGTTCTTTATGACTGAAAAATTCACTCTTCCACCCACTATCCGCTGGACCTCTCCGCTCACAAGGGAGTATATGTACACTTAAGGAAAGATGATTTTCATAACCTCTTAGCATTATCAAAGTATTTCTGATCATTATATTTCTTTTTCTTTTTGGGGGGCCACGTCTTTTATTTTATTGAAATATTAACATATAGCATAATATTGGTTTCATCGTGTATACGTGACTCAGTGCATGTATACTTTGTGAAGTGATCACCACAGTACGTCTAGTTAACCCGTCACCACACAGTTAAAGGTTTTTTTTCTTGTGATGAGAAGTTTTAACATTTACTCTCAGATTTATTTTCAAATATACAATACAGTATTATTAACTACAGTCCCCATGCTGTACATTACACCCCCAGGACTTTATTTATTTATTTATGTATTTGTTGTGAGGAATAGTGTCGCTGAGCTAACATCTGTGCCAGTCTTCCTCCATTTTATGTGGGACGCCACCACAGCATGGCTGGATGAGCGGTGCTAGGTCTGTGCCTGGGAGCTGAACCTGTGAACCATGGGCCGCTGAAGTGGAGCACACTGAACTCAACCACTAGGCCACAGGGCTGGCCCCCAAGTATTTTTTGTTTTTAATTTCATTTGGTCCATGATCATGATCTGTATGATTACACTTCATGGAAATGTACTGAGACTTGTTTTATGGCCTGTTATGTAATTAAATTTTGTTACTATTTATGTATTCTTAAAGAGCCTGACTGATGTGGTGCAGTTTTCCATGTTTGTACATTATGTAAGCCTAGCTAATTGTGTTGTTCAGTCTTCTGTATATTGCCATGTTTTTCTTTTGGCTGTTTGACCTATCAACAGAGGGAAGTGTATTGACATTGCATATTATGATTAGTTTCCATTGTGTGTGTTGAGGTTTTCTGATTTATATGTATGCTAATTTAAAAGAGGTGAACATTTTATTTTTCAGTGGTGTGTTTTCAGATGTGTATTTGATTCTGTTCCCAGGGACTTTATCCTGGAAGGGAGCTGTCACTGGTTGGTTTTGTAGAGTTCATGGGGCCTAAAATACTTCAGCCCTTTCAGACCCTGTCTCAGACCTTTTGCTGTCACTTGCTATCGGGTAAGGCAGAACCCCATCCAGTTTCAGTGCTGTCCTGGAGCTGGTCTTCCAGATTTCTCAGTGAGTACCTTTGGCTCTTTTGTGGTTCACATACCTGTTGCTATCAGCTCGGTTGCTAATATTGCACAGATCTTACACCTGCTCAAATTTGGGGGTTCCTGAAAAACCTAATTGGATTAGGATGTTGTGCATAGGGTTTTAATTTTGTTATCCTAGTTGCCCTGGCTGGTTTATTTGGGGTGGTGGAGCTAGGATTAAGTGGTCAGAAATTTTACTGGCACCCCCACTATTCAAGAACCTTTGTCCCACACCCCCACCCTGAGGGAGATTAGCCCTGAGCCAGCATCTGTTGCCAGTCTTCCTCTTTTTCACTTGAGGAAGATTGGTCCTGAGCTAACATCTGTGCCAATTTTTCCTCTGTTTTCTATGTGGGTTGTCACCACAGCATGGCCACCAACCAGTGGTGTTAGGTCCATGCCCAGGAACCAAATCCGGGCCGCCAAAGTGGAGCAGGCCAAACTTAACCAGCAGGCCACGCAGCTGGCCCCTCTTTGTCTTTTTTTAGTGTTTTTTTGTTTCTGTTTCCCCTCCACCCCTCTCTATTCTTTTAGTGGTTAACCTTAAAAATTTCAACACATATTTAATTTAACAGTCCAAAGTTCGTCAGTATATTAAATGCCCTCCTGAACACTGAGGCCCTTAGAATACTAAAACACATTACCCCTCTTCCAACCTTTGTTGTCCAGCATTTTGGTTGTTTCCCACCCCACATTTAAACATTATTAAATGTTTATTTCGATTTGCTTTGATCATTTTTCTTTCGTGTATCTGAGACATTCATTCTGAGGTAATTTTCTTCCTAAAGGATGTATTTCTAGAAGTTACTTTAGGGATGTTCTGTTCAAGAAATCTCTTTCAGTTTTCTTCATCTGAAAATGTCCCTATTTTACTGTCATTCTTTTTTAAATAAATTTTTAATTTGTTCTGCTTTACTGAAGTATAACTGACAAAATTGTCTATATTTACAGTGTACAGTGTGATGATTTGGCATGAGTGTACTTTGTGAAATGATTATCACAGTTGGGTTAATTAACACACGCATCACCTCAATTTCCTTTCTTTGTGTGCATGGTGAGAATGCTTCAGGTGTACCCTCAGCACATTTCAGGTACACAGCACCTACTGTTCTCGATAGTTTTGCTGGATAGAATTCTTGTTAGTGTTCTCTCAGTCTTTGGAAGTTATTGTTCCACTGTCATCTGGTTTCCTTTGTACTTCGTCAGCTGCTGTCTCGTTAGCCTTCCTTCCTGTGAGTCCTTTTTCTCTCTGCTGCTGCTAAGATGTCATCTGCTCTGAGCCGTGGTTTCACTGTGCTGCATCTGGACGTGTCTGTCTTTGTCTTTGTCCAGTTGGGACGTGTTGTGATTCTTACATTTGTGATGTCTGTATTTCTGCTCTGGAAATTTCTGCCATGGACTCTGAGGATTACTTCTGTTCTCTTTTTCTGGGACTTTATCTTCCTGTTAACTTAACTTTTCACTTCAGCTCTATGTAATCAGTTAAACCATTGAATTTTTTGTTTCGATCACTGTGTTTTTCATTTCCCGAAGTCCCGTTTTGTTCTTTTAGATCTGCTTTGTCACGTTGATGGATTGTTACTCTTAATTCTTAATTCTTTTGTTTGTATCTTTTTTTCTCTGGGCGTTTCATACATAGTTAACTTTATACTCTGTGGCTGAGAAACCAGTGTCTGAAGTCTTTACGGGTCTGAATCTGTTCTCTCTGACTTCTTCCTTTCGGGGCTGTTCCTCCCTGTGCGTCTGGGGCCTTTATTCTGTAGACATGCGCTTAGTTGAACCTGTGAGAACCCGGGCTTCTGAGCTGAGTGTGTTCTCTCAGGTTTTGCGTATGCTCCTCTAGACCAGGAACTGCCCCCAGGACGTCTTAGCTCTCTTCTTGGCCCCTGGCCTCATTCGAGTGTGCAGGTTCGGCGTCCTTCCTTACTGTGGGTCCCGGGCTTAGTCTCCCAGTCCCAACATGGATAATGGCATTTGCCCCCCAGGCAACTGTGGCTTTTCTGTTTCCTTACCTCTCCTGTTCAGGTTCCAGCTTATATATTGGCCTTGGAGATTTCCCTGCTTTCCTGGGAATCCGATAAAGCATTTAAAAGGATTTTGTTTGTGGGGCTAGCTCAGTGGTGTAGTGGTTAAGTTTTCATGACCTGCTTTTGTGGCCTGTGGTTTGTGGGTTCACATCCCCGGTGGGGACCTACAAACTGCTCATCCAGCCATACTGTGGCAGCATCCCACATACAAAATAGAGAAGGATGGGCACAGATGTTATCTCAGCAACAATCTTCCTCAAGCAAAAAGAGGAAGATTGGCAATGGATGTTAGCTCAGGGCCAATCTTCCTCCCCAAAAAAATAAAAGTATGTTGTTTCTAATTTGTCCAAGAATAGTAGTGGGAATGCCCTTCAGAT